GTTTTTGGGGGCCCCCACCCCCGCCCCCCCCCCCCCGCCCAACCGGGCCATTCCCGGGGGACGGAGAGCCGGACGCGGCTCATCCCGACCTCTCCGGCCGGACCCCGGCCAGGGAAGGTCTAATTTTGTCCCGTCCCTCGGGCCAAGGACGCCAATGCCTCGGAAGCGGTTTCCTTTCCCAGCACGTCCCTGTCCCCATGGGAGCCGGAGGGGACAGTATGGGGACAGCAGGGGGACGCCAAGGGGAGACGCCATGGGGACGGCACGGGGACAGGGACAGCAGGGGGAGACCAAGGGGAGATGCCATGGGGACGGCATGGGGATGGCATGGGGACGGCATGGGGACACCAAGGGGACGGCATGGGGACATGCCATAGGGACGGCATGGGGACAGGGACAACAGGGAGACACCAAGGGGACACGCCATAGGGACAACATGGGGACGGTATGGGGATACCAAGGGGACACCATAGGGATACCATGGGGACAGTATAGGGACACCATGGGGACAGCATGGGGACGGCATGGGGATACCAAGGGGACGGCATGGGGACACCAAGGGGACAATATGGGGATGGTATGGGGATACCAAGGGGACAGCATGGGGACATCATGGGGACAGTATGGATGGGGATACCAAGGGGACAGCATGGGGACAGTATAGGGACACCATGGGGCATGGGGGGGGACGGCATGGGGATACCAAGGGGACGGCATGGGGACACCAAGGGGACAATATGGGGATGGTATGGGGATACCAAGGGGACAGCATGGGGACATCATGGGGACAGTATAGGGATGCCATGGGGACAGCATGGGGACAGTATGGGGATACCAAGGGGACAGTATGGGGATGGTATGGGGATACCAAGGGGACAGCATGGGGACACCATGGGGACAGTATGGGGATACCAAGGGGACGGCATGGAGACACCAAGGGGACGGCATGGAGACGGTATGGGGACAGCATGGGGACGCGGACTCACTCGCTGGTCATCTGCAGGACCTTCTCGATGGTGCTGTAGCCCGAGGCCATGAAGTGCTCCGTGTACTGGGGCATCCTGATGGACTCCAGCCACTCGGGGACGGAGCGGAAGGGGACGCCCTCCGAGCCGCTGGTGCTGGGCAGGCGGATGGAGACCCTGGGGGGGGGGTG